GGTGACTCAAAAATTGTAAATAGTCCACAACCAACTCATGTTGTTTTTACTAGACAATACAAGATGTGTAAAAAGGCAAATGCTTTGTTCAGTGATTTAAACGTATCTTGGTTTAGGATTATTGGCTTCCATATCTTGCTGTGTGGGTGGTCTAAAGCTATGTCAAAAGATATTACATTTCCTCCGGAATTTATACATTTTTCTCTTTTATAAAAGACAATTATGTCTACTAGGCAAAGGTAACCGAGCCTCATTTTGTACAGAAATAAAACATAAGGTAGTAAAATCTGTGTTCATGGAGATAAAACATACATGCAGTGGTCCTTAGACTCTCTCTGTTCCAATCTCTGTCACCAGCAATTTATCTTAGTTTATCTGTCCCATATCAGCAATTTCTCATTTGCGTTAAAGAAAGGTGATTGCCTATACGATGAAATGATGCTGTCCTTTTCAAGTGTTTCTCTGCTTCTGCACTCTAATTATTTTAAAGAGGAACTAAATGACCTTTTTTTTTTTTTTTTTTTTTTTTTTTTTTTTTCTGTGTGGAGTGACCCGTTTCACTCTGCAAGAAAAATTTTGATTGCAGAAGTGGTGTTTTCCAATGAACCTTCCTTCATACAGCTGATCTAGTATCTGGGGAGGGTGTTAGAGTCTATTTTGGGCTCTAAAGAGTGACTGGAGAAGGGTTGTTATCACTTCTAGAATGTGGTGGAGTGAGCTTTGAATAAACTTTTGCAGAAGATGGACATCCATCTTCTCTTCATTTCCCTGTGTTTTACCTATCATGTCTAGGATCCCAAAGAACCGCCACTACCATGTAACCTGTCCACCAGGCCCTGGTTCAATGGTGTTTCCTTGGACAAGAGTTTGGCTTACTGAATTGTAAAACTGGCTGCAACTCCCCACAGCTGTTGCAGATGATTTCCCCTCTGCCAGTGGAATAATCCCTCATGCTGTAGATCTTGCTGCCTTGAAGAGGAGCGGTGGCAATATCGGTGTTATAGCTGATGTCCAAGCTCAGGTCTACGTGGTCACCAAATCGCATTTTACTACTGTTGTATCTGCTGACCATTATGTTTCTTTTTTGTCTAGCTAGATCTCAGAGATATTTTTTTTTTCTTCTGCAGAAAACTGTGAGCAGTCACCTGCTGCTTCATATAGTACCATGTTTTGTTTAGCATTTGGAACAATGTGTTGGTGGAAAGCAAGTTTGAGGCAATAAACATACATGCTTATTTAGTTTCAAGTATGGACAAGCTGTGAGTGATTCTTGTTTCACAGTCTGAAAATATATTTAAGAAAATAAGGAGAATATATAACTACAGAAACCTTGTTCTGCCCTTTATAACACTTCATTTTATGTATGTATGTATATATGTTAAGTAAAATATAAAAAAGCAGAATCTCACTGAAGCAAAAGGGATGATTACTTAACCACAAACTGGAGCTTGATTAGGTTAATATTAAAGGTATCCTTAATTGCTAACATACATACATACATACATAAATGATTGCCTGCTAAAATATCTGAAATGATTAAAGGAAGATGTTTCATTGTAAGGCTGTTCAAGCAAATCATGCATGTTAAGTGAAATACTGTATTAGCAAATAACTGATAAAAAGATAAAATTCCTAATAAATGAGTTGATCTCTACAAGGAGTATATAGGGAACTTTAAAAAAAATACAGGATAGAGGAAGTGTTAATCGGTACCTTCTGGACTAAATAAAAGTTAATAGGATCTTATGTTGGTTATGGTACGTACAAAGTAGGTTCTGGATTTCTTTTACTAATGTGAGAAAAATATATTTTGCCTTATTCAAGCAATGAGATTAAGGAGCATTGTCTACAAGTTAACTCCTCACTTCAAGCAAAAGTTTTAATTGACAGATGAAAAGAATATATTTATTTTCTTCAGTACATAAGATCATATTAAATCAGATTATTGTTTTTCAGCCTGTAAATATTTGCAGATGATGGAGGATGGAGATAGGGCAATTTGACGAATTAATTCTTCAAAGTGTCTTTTGTGTGTGTGAATGTGTGTGTGTACGAGTAAAGCAAGCTATGCATGTTCCTTGTGGCAGAAAAGGCAAAAGAAGAAAACTTTCAAGGTCAAATCTTGAAACTTTACTGAACTGTAAAGTTATTGAGAGCATTGCCTGAAAAGGAATTAGGGGATAAGCTCATTGCAACAACTGTCTTCAGTAGAGCTTGTGAGGACATTTTTCTAAAAAATTGTTTGTGGAAGTGTTTTTATGTTTTCAAGTTTCATTTGAGAAAACATTTCTTTGAAAAAATGCTACATTTTTTACAAATGCTACAGCTGAAAAGGCATTCTTTCCAAAACCAAAATGAAAAAATATTCAAAAAATATTTCATTTCTCATGAAAAAATATCAATCCTTCATAGTTGTTGTTGTTATTATTATTGTTATTATTATTATTGTTATTATTGTTATTATTATTATTCACTTTTGGCTTTAGAATGCCAAAATGCTTCAACCCATCAGTAGTTTCTTCAGGAATGGGTCTGGGATTTGGAAAGGATGGATGGGGCCACCTGCCCTCCAACAGCATGATGTTGGACAGACAGACCTTCCCAACAGATAGACTTGGGGAAGAAAGCATCATTGTATTTCCCTTTCATTAAATGAACAGCACCTTTATATGTGTTTAGCCATGGAAATACTTGGGTGGGAGTTGCAATACACCTGTTTTAAGGGTTCTGGAAGCAGCCTCAGAATTAAAAACTCTGTTTTACAGTAACTTTAAATAAAAATCCATAGATATATGTTGGCATGCATATGTATCTGTCCATCAGTCTTTATTACACATGTGCACACACACACACGCATATATACTCATCTGCTATGTCTCTTTTCCACATTTCAAGGAAGACAATTTATATTCCATGGAATTCAAAGTAAATGCAAAGTTTTTGGCTTCCTTAGATTAATTACTATATTAGAACATGATAGATATCTAAAGAAATTTATCTCCTGATGAGACTTGTCTTTATTGTACACAGAGGTACTTAGGAATGATATGATTCAAATGAATGTGGATTTCTATTCATTTTTCTTCTGTACATAGATTTTTAAATTAAAAATCAGATATCTTTGCTCCACCAGGGCTTATTTTGACCCACCTAAAATTTAGCTTCTTAAAAGCTTCCTTTACTTTTTAAGGATTTTCATTACTGCCCTCTCATCTATATTTCATATGTAGGTTTATGCGTAATCCTAAAGCTGCTGCTTTTTCAGTTTATCCAAACAACCTCTATGTAAATGTATGCCAGATGTTTTCTTTTCTAACATGCCACTTCGCATCTTTCTTCTAGAGCACTTGCAACTCCCTCTCTCTCTCCCCGTGAGAGACCATACTTCGATCTCTTGCTGATACTTTGATATCTTGCTCAAAGTATTAATAAACCCAGTTTCAGCCTGAGAGTTTCTCCTGTGGCTTGAATGAAGTCCAGGCTTTCGCTTTGGATGTGTGTCCTCTCAGGTTCCTTTGTTTTCATCGGGAACTTCACATGCATCTTGAGGATATGATGTTTTTGCTCTGAGACTTCAGTTTGGAAAAATCTTGATCTACAAATACTTTGCCATGATCTATGTATGATAATCTATAATACTTGGGTTATTTGAATTTTCTAGGGAGGTACATCAACACATCCCCATGCATTTTATTTATTGTCTAATGGAGGTGAATATTACTATAAAAGCATTTTGCTTGCTCACATCCAGAAACTTTTCCTCAGGTGGAGCACACAGAGAATTCATCAATGAAAGGATTCTTGGGCTTATTCTATTTCTTTGAAAGATAAATCTCAGAAAATATAGATGGTTGGAGATGATCTCCACAGATTTCTGTGTGTCTTTTCTGTGTTGAATATGCATACTTCATGATAATTCCTGAACTCAAACACAGTAATATTGTTTGGGCTCAGGTGAAAACTAAAATACAAAGCACTGAAATGTTATTTCTATCTGAAAAATAAAAATTTTGGAAAAGAGATGAGATATTTCTTGATGTAAAAATCTGGGTTGGTATGTAGTAGAAACAAACAATGGGAAATTGCTTTGCTCGTAAATCTGAGTTTGCTGTTCAAGGACACTGGATGCAAAGATGACCTCTCCCTTGTGCTAAAATCAAAATAATTTCTTATACACTTTCCTGGCTTGCTTTCTTCTTGCAACCAGCTGTTCTAAGGTCTACTGTCTTTGCTGTCTATCCCCATCAAACTCTTCAATCCATATGGCTTAACTCCACCAAGGTTTCACCATACCACTGCCACCTCCCTGGTCAGGACCTCCTCAGTTTTGAGCTGTATGTGAGTAGACAGAGCTCCCCTGCTCTTGCAATTTTGCTCAAATGAAGAGCATTTCACACAGATATTACCTTTACACATCTCAATCACCTTACCACTCTGTAAAGTATTTTTTTTTTCTTCCTTTGTGAGATATTTTCATGTGATTTCAGATCCCACAGAGTAAATGGAGAAATCAGTAATAACTCTTCACTGAGACAAAGTTCTCGACAGTCTGTGAAACAGTTCACATTATTGTCAAGGAAAGAAGATTAGAAGAAAAACATCTTCACATTCAGACATGAAACAAAAGGCCTTTTAGAGTTAAATGGTTACATTAGTCACATTTGAAAGTTAAAAATTGCTTCTTTGAGGCCCATGTAGCTGATGGTACAGAAGATAATGAGGTTGTGGAAGCCAATACTAAGAGAATTTCACTATTTGGAAGTCTGAGTAATGTAAACCAAACAGCGCAGAGATCCTGGCTCTGCACAAGGTACATAATATAATATTCAAGGATATCTCTAGAGTTGTATTTTGTGTTTTGGAGAAGTGCCAGAGAGATTTTTAAATTATCTAAGTTTTGCCTCCTCATTTCCTTTCTTTACAATGTACAGTATATGCCTGTGCTTTTTGATCTTTAAACAACAAAAACAATATGAAAAAACCACAGGGGCACAGCTGGGTACCAAATAACTATGTTTACTAAAAATACACAAACATGCAAGGCCTGGTTATATACATATTGCTGCTCTGGCTGGTTTCTGGTGGCTCTGAAACAACGAATACAGTGAACAGCACTAGGAGGTTTGCAAGCTATTTAAGGGGAAGCTGCTCTCTGCATATACACTGCACTAGAAAAATAACATCTGGGAATGTTATACTGCAATGGGATTTTTCTCTCACACATGAACAACGTCTTTCTTACATTATTCATATATTAGTTGCACACACACCACTCCTACCATGTTAAAGAACGTCAGAGAAGCAGTTTGTAAGCTTGCCTGCCCAACTGTTGCCTGCTGAAATGCATTGTCTTCCCAGAAATCCAGCTTTTCATATCACCATTGCTCATTATGACTATCACATTGTTGTCACTAAGACTACATTAATAAGAGCACAAAGCAAGGCACTTGAAAGTAAGGAAACAGCAGAAGAGAGTGCCTACACGTTATTATTCAACTTTAAATTGTATGACCACATTGTCGTCTTTTCAGAGATGACTATCTTATTCAGTGCACAGGATGGTTGATGATTAATGATGAGATATCTGGTTTTTTCTTTTCTTTCTTCAGTATGTCACTCTGTGCTTTGTTTAAAGCTTTTCTGTAAAAACAGTATTATTTACTCTTTAACATTCTCTCACCTGAGTTCCATCACAGCTTCATGAAAAAAAAAAAAGGGGGATACTTTTACTTGTGCATTGAGTAAAGAGTTGGCAAACATGGGGCAGTCAGATAAGCAGTTCTCTTTTATTTTAGTAGTCTTAGTTTTATACAGAAGTTCAGCTTCCACTGAATTCATTGGCAGCTGTGAGCTGTGAAATAGGTTTATGATTTTGTCTAAATTTGGATGCACTTTCCCAAGAACAGCAAAAGCCACACACATGATGCATATGACAACCTTTGTCAAAGATCAATTACATTCCTTAGAAGCTGTGTAACTACAGCTTTTCAGAGAAAACACATTGGTCATTTATTCAGTGAAAAAGATAACAAAATAAGATTTATCTATTTATTTATTTTCACATGCTCCATCTCAGATATGGCTAATCCTGTTCTGAAGTATTCACAAATTCACACACTGTGTGTGAAAGATTTTGACCCAGACAATTACTTTTTCTTAAAGGTTTCAGACAGTGAAACTGTGCTTGATAACAGACAACGTCAGTTGACCAAAATGCAGTATGACTTGAGAATAGGTAATTTTATAATCTGACCTGAAAAAACTCAAAACGTTAGCAGAATTTAAGTGCTAAGACCATAAAAAGATTTGCTCATTCATTACTGTAGAACTTACCTTGTACTCATTCCTCTGATCTTATTTTGCTGTTGTAAGGCTGAGTAAAGGCAGGATGTCGTTTCACTTGTTGTGGCTTATCTGTGTTTTATTATATGCCTGATGACTCTGCGCTTAGACATACACTGCATGAAAAGATTAATGATTATGCTTTTAAGATTGCATACACTGAATTATTTTGTTCTGTAATGCTGGTATAGCATCTACTTCTGGCCTGCTTGGGCTGTGTTTGCATCTCTTGGGAGTATTTTATAATGTAAAAATAAGATAAAAAAAATGCAGAAAGGAATCAATACTGTATACGTCAAACTTCCTGAGTCCTTTTCGATATTGTGCTATCTCTAATTTTAATGAACTAGGAAAGAGTAAGGATTATTGATTGTAAAATTGGATTCATCTTGCAGATTTCACTTCCATGATTTCCTGAGTCTGAAACCCAGTTTAAGTGAACAATGCAGGATAAATTCTCTTTTATCTTTATATTAATTTATCAGACTTAGCTTTGGGGTACATTTCCAGTATTATCAGTAATAAATAGCTTACATTTAACATGAAATGTCTAAATATCATGTGATAAAAAAGAAGTTCAAATTTTGAGAAGATTAAGGAAAAGGAAAAAAGAAGAAAGAAAAGAGAAAAAAAAAAAGAAAAAAAAAACAGAAAAAGAAAAAAGAGAAAAGAGAACAAGAAAAAAAAGGAAAAGGGAATGAATTTACACTTTGTTTTTTTTTGAGGCAAGGGTCTTATGTCATATGAACACAGCAGTGTCCTTTAGTGGTTTTCAGATCCATGGAACCTTTCGATTAGTTTAGGGTGGATGTAACCTGTAGTTCTCAAGAGACATTTTAACCTTAAAGACCTCTGTTCAAATCAGTGAATAAAATAAAGTTAATGCATAGATGATAAGTCACTGTGGCTTAAATTAAGCTAATGTGTAGATGCTGAAGTCACTGTGGGTATCACTTGTGGTATAAATTAAGGACCCAGAAGACGTGACTCGATTGTCTTAATAGTATTTCAGACTATTCATTGGACAAAGTGATTAGACCTCAGAGAGCAGGGCTAATACAATTTATCTCTGTGTTTTACTTTTTTTTTTTTTTTTTTTTTTTTCCTCTGAGCTATGGAATTCAGATGTAAAATTATAAGTAAAAAAACAGGCATGTTTGCCCATTTACATGTAAATTTCAGTCACCAGTAACCCAGGTACCTGGACATTCTCCTGTCTTCATATTTACCATTCTGATGCACTTCCATTGTGAATTTAATCTCTTCCCTTTCCTTTATAGGATATGGTTGTTGTTAATGCTTCTCCATGAAAATTCCTCGGGTCTGCTGAGGAACAGACAGCAATACTGAATTCACTGACTTATAAATTAAATGAAGCTAAGTGATAAAATGTATAAACATAAAAGAACAGATATTTTCACCCATTTCGTCCCATTTCCTATATTCCCTATTTTCATAATGTTAAAAAGTATCTTAGCCTAAGAAGCCACAGCACATAATCTTGTTTCCAAATGTTTTCTGCAGGGTATGATGCCCACCAGAAATCATAGAGACCCTGTTGTTTTGAGGTAACATACTGTCTTGCAACATATTTCTACTCACCCAGTGATTATCACAGTGCTTTGATCACATGTTGCAAGTCAGTCATCTCAGGAAGTCAAAAGGTTTTGGGGGAACGTCTAAAGTGAGGTGGAAGAAGACATAGGGATGGACACGGATGAGTGCCCTCTGTCTGAGGAGCTCAAATTTCTGCTACATGCATGTTAGCAGACTAATTTCTCATTGTATTTACCCAATTAGCTCGAGTTCCTAATTTTGACAGGGATGGGACACCTTGCATAGCATTGGGATGCACCATGCTGTGGCACCTCCAGCATCCCCATAATGAGAAAGGACTCACAGAGCTCCCTTCTTAAGGCATGCAGGGTGTGTGCTCTGACCTGTTGTGCCCTGCTTTTAGAAAACAGGATGCTCTTGTGACTGCTCTTCCCCTTCCTGAAGCTCCTGCAGGACCTGGGGTTTAGGAGGCACTGTCTCAATCCCCTGTTCTTTCAGCACTTACCTATGAGATCTGAGCAGTTGTGCTTTAACATCTGCCATCTAAAGTAGCGATAACAGCATTTTCCTCTCTCAGAGGATTTCAATGATGGCAAATACATGAAAGACTTCTGAGGTTTTCTGGTACTACTGAAATAGATAAGTTTCAAAAATAGATCGAGAGATCTTTTTTGTTTGTTTGTTTTGCTTTTTTTTTTTCCTTACATGAGCTCCAGAATGGTGAAGTATTCAAATGTTAAACTCCAGAAATCTCAGTTTTCTTTCTGAAAATCAAAATAAAATAGTAATACACTTTGCCTCTAACAAAACATCAATTCTTCCCCCCACCCCCATTAATTCTTTCTACTTTCCTTTTCTGAAGTTTATTATAACATGATATAGAAAGAAGATATAGAACCCCAATAATTTCAAATAGGAATGTAATCTTTTTACAGGAAGCCTTGATTTATAAAGCCAACTCCCTGAGGTACAGACAGGTTTATCATTCTGCTATAAATGTCTGAATGCATAATGGAATGCAGACTCTAATTTCTATAATGTGTTTGGATGATGCATTGCTCATTGAGAACTGCAGATGAAGCCAAAGAAGAAATCTCAAAAAAATTCTTCTGAAATTTCTTTTGTCTAATGCATTATTAAGGATTTCAGATAACAGGCAAAAATGTCACACAATCTTGTGAAGTCAGAAGAGAGTTCATAAGTTAATATTTGACTGCAATTTAATCTATAATAATAAACTTGCTTTTGCTTTCAGGCAATTACAAGTACCCACAGAAATGCTGTGCCCCAGTGGTTTAGCTTGGAGTCAACTTTTCACAAGAAATAGGAATTAATTATGATTATGATATTGTTATGTTTAACTAACAATGTACATAGGCACTAGCCAGGTCTAACAAAAGGATTACAAAGGTTTGGTATGATACTTAATTGAATGCACACTTTGGAGGCTCTATTTTCCCACTGAAATAATTTGTAGAAATAAATTTTGATTATGACTAGTTTTACACCCACTATTAGAAACCCATCCAGATAGCTTCTTTCTTCTATTTTCTTTCCTTTCTTTTTTAAGTGCTGAATTGTTTAAGCTATTTCAAACAAAAGAAAGTAACTGGTTTTAATTAAAGCACAGCTAGGATATAAAATGTGTAAGTCTTATTAAAGTGCCTGGGAAAGACTATTTCAATGTATAGATGTTTTTCCTTTGTTGCCAGCTCTTATGATGTTATCAGAAGTCTGGCAATGTTTGATGTTTTTCTTGAAAACCAAAGTTCCTCGTATCATGCAGTATTTTAACAATCTCAGATTTCCTTTCAAAAAAAAAAAAAAGAGGAAAATTTGAAAATTTGCACTCTTGTATACTTTAAAGATGACAAAGCCAGAAGGCAGTTTAGAGAAACCAACATTCATTATTATTATTATTATTATTATTATTATTATTATTATTATTATTATTATTATTATTATTATTATTAAAGAGATCATTATTTTAAGACTATCTCATGGCTTGTGCAGCCTGATTCATGAGTTTGGAACATCTGAATTTGGCCACAAAGCCTTCATTTTACAATTTAAAATTATCTCAGCATCTGTGAGTAGGTCACTTCTTTCTTGCCTGCTGCCTTCCTTAAACAAGTAATTAACAATAGCAACAAGAAGAAAAATATAAAGAAAATATTTGTGACTTTTTTTGTTGTTGTTGTTGCTAAAGATCTGGTCCTCCAGGGAAAGCTTCCTGCAGAGGGGAAAACTTTGTCTTTCTACAGGCAAGAGAGTTGCATTTGGCAGCAGTGAGTGAGTATGGTGTGGACAATTGAGACGTAGTGTGGAAGCTGCAGGAGTGTGGACAAAACATTCCTCCCTCTGCCACAAATAAAGCAGCCATTGCATAATGCTTCAGGTACAGACCAGACTTGACACAAGGGTCATGCTTGCTCCTCCTAACAGATTTTAAAGGAAATAATTAAATTCTACACATGCGCAAAAGTTCAATATGATTATTTTTCACATCTCATAACCATGTTTTCTCTAGCAAACAGCTTTTCAACTAAGAAGGGCCAAGGAAAGAACTAATGTGTGCAGGAGAACTGATACTCCAAAATTTCTATTTCTTCACTTCCCTCTGTCCCCCCTCCTGCTGTATTTCTTTCCACCCCTGACAGCCTACCAAGGATGACTGACAGCATAGCTGACAGCTTTGACCTGTCAGCAAAACTGATTCAAATCTGAAATAAGTTTAATGTCCATTGGTTTGCCGGCCTGCATTTGGAGATGATCTAAGGAATGGCACTGTAACTGCAGACTGTCCTCTCTTTTAACTTAGTGACAGCACTCCTAACATTTATTATTATTATTATTATTATTGTTGTTGTTGTTGTTTGTTGTTGTTATGTTTTATGATACAGAATTATCTGAGTTTCCAGAGATGGAGAACTATTTAATGCTTAGGTGCTGTATTGCTTGCCCATCTAACTTTTATGTGTCTTCATGTTAAGATCTGTCTACAGAGAAGCGGACAGGTATGTTGCAACCTAGAATAAGCAGAGCTCCCATTTCCATTAAAATGCAGGGATATGCAGTTCTTGTCTGTGTTTCTGAAATCCTTTGGTCTCTCCTGACAATGGAAAATGGGGCATGGGGGGGGGGGGGGGGGGGGGAATTAAAAAAAAAAAAAAAGGAAAAAAAGACCATCGTCATCCTGATTTATAGGACATTCAAAGTTAACATGGAACTGTGGAATTGCACATTGTAGTAAGTGAACCTTGAATATGCTCATTCAGAGGATGTTGTGAAAGACATTTCTACCTACTGCCGAGAGATTTTGCTCTAAACCCTGTGCCTAGTCATTGCCTGACTAGAAAATGGTCCATAAATTGGGAATAAGAAAAGGACACCTAATGGCTCTGGGAGAGCAGACTGAACAACTCAGTCCTACATGGTCCTGAAAAAACACTGACTTTTTCCATACTTATGTATTTTCTCTTTTGCCCGGATGCAAGAGAAGTGTCCTAGGCTCTTCTTACAGCTCAGAAAATTTTGTTTTTAACCCCTGAGTCCAAGAGATTGCTCTAACCATTGGAAATCTGGATTAAAAGCTCCCTTACACTTTTCAGCAGAGGCCCAATGGCAAAGGAAAACCCAACATTTTGGGGTACAAAGAATGGCAGGCAAGAGTAAACTGGGCTACAAAGTCATCTGAATGCTGTGACTTTTGATATTTCTCTTTTGTTGAAAGGTTGAAAAGGCTTGCATGAGGCACTAGGAATTCTGGAGAAATAAATGTCTGCATGGAGAATGTCAGCCTCCCAGAAATGTGTCTGTCATTAGGAAGTTGGCTTCTAGAAAGCATCCAGATACTATTTACTTCAAATTATAGCCTTTTATATTGTATCTCTTCCTTCAAAATTAGAGATCAACTTCTAGGTCAATTACTAGAAGAAAAACTATGCAAGTTGGCATAATTCTTTTAATGTTTGCATCACTGGTGGCTACTCATTATATATCCTTGCACATCTGCCTTGCACTGGATGATTGTTTGCATGAGAATGTAGTTTATAACAGGATAAAGAAAAATTCTGTTATACCAAGATAGAAAAGATTTGTGTTTTCAATACTAACAGGCAGGCCTGTCTTCCTCAGAAAAATACTGTACACAGAGCCATCAGCTTTTAGGCCATTTCTTTTCATGACTGAAAGACAATTAATGTTTGATGTTGGAATAAGTGATGTGGGACTTCCTGTAGCTAATGGATATTCCTGTTGCTTGTAAATGCTGTGTGCTTGTTAGCTATTTCAGAGAAAAAAAAAAAAAACAACAACAAAACACCATTTTCCCTATGAAGGTAATGCTGTTTCTGCAGAAAATCCTTTAATTCCATGTTTATTGTTACATAGGCTTACTAAGTTTTGACTGTAAAGGTGTTTTTAATTGGAGTTGGTCATTTTTATTGTGAATTATGGTATGCTTAATAGAAATATGCTTTACCAAAAGCATAGTTCAGTGCTTATTGCAAATAACAACAGTGATGTTGTTATTATGTGACTGTGTGAAAGAAAAAGAGATATTTTTCTCCATCAGAGAATTAAGCACAATGCTTTTTGAATGTTAAGGTTCAACAGGGTGAGTGTTAAGCGATTGCAGCATGCAACTGTCCATATGTGACTCCTGTAATTTACCAAACGTGGACAGTGAGGTTGAGGAGTTCCAGCTCCATTTGTGTGGATGCAGAAGCAACCAGAGGAATTCACAGTATGTCTGTCCACTCAGGTGGAGAAAGGGAAGGAAAAGACCTCACAGCTGTCTCTCCATTGCACACAGTCTCAAATGCCTGTCCAGGATGTGGCAATACGAAGTCGCTGCTTTTTGAACCATTGGTGATGAGCCAGTCACCAAAAAAAAACTGGTGCTGATTTTCATCTGGTCAAGGTTGCAACTCTTTGTGCTGCAACAACTTGTGGATGACCCTAGGAACAGAGCTCACATATACTCTGTGGAGCAAACCCTGAAATGTAAAGGAAAAGGAGCACAAACAAGTCCATGTAGTCTGTTTATATAGCCCTAGAGATTCAGATAAAGAAAAACAAACATAACCTTTTCAGCTGTTCCTCACAAGGGAAAAAGAAAATGAAACATTTGATTATAATTGTTTTAATGAGCTTTGATTCAAAATGAAGTCATAATGGTCTGGTTAAAAAATATTCTGTTAATGAGCTTATATTTCTATCAAAGTCTGCAAGATGCAAAATTCTCTGAGGATAAAATTAAACAGCAAGCAATATTTATTTGCTGATAAATAAAATCCTGCTTATTCCTTGAAAAAAAATAGTATTAGTAATGGTGATGGCAGTAGTAGCAATGGTAATGGCAGTAAAACTGGTAGGAGCACAGTGATAATAATCTAACCAGATGGCTTATCTTAGGTTTCACCATGAAATTAGAGAAATGGTGTAGAGAATTCATTTTTATGGAGGCCTAAAATGTAATCTTAGATATCTTGCAAAATGCAAAATCGACTGTAGGCCACCTCTAAATGTAAATTCCTCCCAACAGTTTATTTTTTTATGGTAAACTACCACTTTACGTTTAGAAAGATGCATATTATATCTGGGATAGAACCAATTGCAAAAAAAAAAAAAAAAAAAAAAAAAAAAGGATTAAATGTGCTAATTAGGGGTAGTGATGTGTACTCCCTGTGAGCAGCACTAGCTCCGACTGTTGTGCTGTTAGAAGAGATGTTTCTGCATGTGCTACATTTTAT